GTTTAGATAGGTTTATATTACCTTATCTTTCTGCAAATAGTCTTGTAAAATCTGTATTGATCTTCTCTATCAATATATATTTTAAATTTGAAAATATTGTGTTTGTATTCATCCCCCCCTTCTACAAACTGTTTCTATTCTTGTAGACCCTTACGGGACCAACAAAAACATATATGCATCTCGATGAATATGTGGCCAAAAGAGACCACTTTCGAGAACTTTATGCGCTGTCCTCGTCGGGCCAAAATGGCCTCCACATGCATAAGAATGACAAAATTATAAAATGGAAGTTACCTCATCGTCACTTACACATCGCCGGATGATTTGATCGGAACCTTGCTTCCACAAAAAAGGATCGTCCCATATGTAGTGTTTGGAGTCACTTTTTATCTTGTCTCGCTTCGCTCTCAGTAGCTCCTTAGGTGTTGTCCCAGTAACTAGATAATTGACTTATGTCAGCATACCAAGGAACCGCCGCCATCACCCCGAATAGATGCTCATCCGGGAACTTATTGTTTAGAGGCAACAACTCTTCGTTGGAAGTAATCTGGCTTAAGTGATCTGCCACCAGGTTTTGTGCTCCATTTTTGTCTCTGATTTTCAGGTCGAACTCTTGGAGCAAAAAAATCCATCAGATGAGTCTTGGCTTGGCATCCTTCTTTGCCATCAAATGCCGCAACACCGCATGATCTGTAGAAACAATAACTTTAGTACCTAAGAGATATTGACGAAAATTTTCCAATGCAAAGACAACAACAAGCAATTCCTTCTCCGTAGTGGAGTAGTTTGCTTACGTGCTATCGAGGGTTCTCGAAGCATAATAAACAACATGTGAGTTCTTTCCAACCCCTTACCCAAGAACCGCTTTGATGGCATAGTTGCTCGCGTCACACACAATCTCAAAAGGAAGATCCCAATTCGGTGGTCTCATAATGGGGGCGGATGTGAGCATCTCTTTAAGCTTATCGAAATCTTACTTGCATTTCTCATCAAACCTGAACTCCACATCCTTTTAAAGTAGATTGCACATCGGTCGGGTAATGCTTGAGAAATCCTTAATGAAGCGCCTATAGAAACCTGCATGACCCAAAAATGACCGGACTTCCCTCATCGAACTGGTGAGGGTAAGCTTTTGATAACATCTACTTTAGCTCTATCTACTTCAATACCTTTATTCGAGATAACATGTCCTAAAATCAACTCTTGGTTTACCATAAAGTGACATTTTTCATAATTTAAAACCAAGTTGGTCTCTATGCATCTTTGAAGAATTTTAATGAGATTTTCTAAACATTCATCAAAGAGGTTCCCATAGACGGTGAAATTGTCCATAAAAACTTCAATGATGCTTTCCATAAACTCAGAAAAAATACTCATCATACACCGTTGAAAGTTTATGGTGCATTGTATAGGCCAAAGGGCATTCAGCGATAGGCGAAAGTGCCAAAAGGACATGTAAACGTGGTTTTCTCTTGGTCTTCTGGTGCATTCGAAATTTGATGAAAACCAGAGAAACCATCTAAACAACAATAATGAGACTTACCTGCCAGTCTCTCGAACATCTGGTCAATCAAAGGTAGAGGGAAGTGATCTTTGCGGGTTGAGGCGTTCAATCGTCGGTAATCTATGCATACTCTCCAACCACTTTGTACTCTTGTTGGAACCATCACTCCCCCGGCGTTTTCCACTACAGTCACCCCGACCTTCTTTGGAACAACTTGCACCGGGCTCACCCATTTGCTATCGGATATAGCAAATATCACACCTGCATCTAGCAACTTTTGAATCTCTTTCTTCACAACCTCCATCATGGGTAGATTCAACCTCCTTTGAGCCTCGCCGAATGGCTTGAAGTCATCCTCCATCAAAATCTTGTGCATGCAAGTTGATGGTCTCAAGCCTTTTATGTCAGCTATCGTCCACCCAATGGCCTCCTTGAATTGTTTTAGCATGGAAACGAGCTTCTTTTCCTCGGATGAGTCTAATCTACTTGAAATGATGACCAGTAGCTTCTCTCCTTCTCCTAGATACGCATACTTTAGATGCTCGGGAAGTTTCTTCAACTTTAGTTCAGGTGCCTACAAACAGAAGAAAGTAGCTTTTTGTTAGATGGCAGTAAAGAAACTTGATCTATATAATACCTTGACATCTTTTTTGATCCATAGAAGCTACTAGCTCGTGAAACTCTGTTTCGAGCTCAATCTTCTTCATGAGTTTGGTTACTCTTGCTTCATTCAAAGACCTACTTAAGATGGTGTCTAAAGCATAAAAATGTGTTAGTTCAAACAACTCTTGAGAAACAGGTTCAATAATGTCAATGGTACATAGAGATGATACATCACTTGGAAAACACATGGCTTCATAGATATTAAAATGGATGATGTTACCATCAAATTCCATGGAAAATGTGCCATTGTGAACATTTATCTTTGTTTTTGAAGTTTACAAAAATGGCCTCCCTAAGAAGATGGATGTAGATTTTGGATGTGAATCCTCCTCCATATCAATGACATAGAAATCAGCGGGGAAAACAAATTCATTCACTTGAACTAATAAATTCTCTAATACCCCTTTCGGGTGTACAAGGGACCTATCGGCCAATTGAATGACCACCCTAGTTTCTTGTAAGGGGCCTACATTTAGAGTCTTAAAGATAGAAAATGGCATCACATTGATAGATGCACCCAAATCAAGCATAGCCCTATTGATTGTAACATTCCCCAATTTGCAAGGAATGGTGAAAACACCTGGATCTTTGCACTTTGGGGGTAGTTTCTTTTGAAGGACGGAAAATACATTCTCATTCATATTAATCGTCTCGTTACCCATAAGTTTTCTTTTGTTGGTGCACAATTCTTTCAAAAACTTAGCGTAACGAGGGACTTGTTTGACTGCATCTAAAAGAGGGATATTTACCTCGACCTTTATAAAAGTTTCTAGGATTTCCTTTTCCTCTCTAGCTTTGTTAGACATTTGAATACACGTAGGAAAGGGAGGTGGAATTGCCTTTTCTTTCTCACTTACATCGTCAGTGGATCCCGATTGTTTCTTATCTTGAATCGGTTTCAGACTTACCTCTTGCTCTTTCTCCATTTCCCTACTCTTTGCCATCTTTGGTTCTTCAAGTTCCTTCCCACTCCTCAAGACAATTGCACTTACATTCTGTTTCGGGTTCGTCTCCGTTTAGAAAGGCAACTTTCCTTGAGATTCCAACCGGCTCATGAAAGTGGCAAGTTGCGTCATTTGAGCTCCCAAATTTTGAATGCTTGCCTCTATTTTCTGTTGGAATTGAAGAGTATTAGCAGCTAAACTCTTGACAATGTCTTCAAGGGACATACCTGGGCTACTAGAAGTAGCTTGATTCGGATTGAAGGGTGCTCTTTGCTGAAACTATTGTTATGGCGGCCTTTGCACGAAATTCTGAAATTGAGGAGGTCTTTGGTTGCCAAAATTGTTGTTGAAGAATTGTTGTTGTGTTTGTGGCTGACCTTGATAACCTCCTATAGCGTTTACGTTTTCGGTCGTCACCAACACATCCTCTTGAAGTTGTGGGCACGCATCAGTTGGATAGCTCGTCGCCAAGCATATGCCGCAAGCTTTCACCTGTTCTTTATCAACTACAAACTGTTTGACCAAGTTAGAGAGATCAAACAAACGAATCTCAATGCTCGCGACATTTATCTCATTTGCCTTTGTGGGCTCTCTCCTCATATCATTCCTCACACTAAATTGATGGGAATTCTCGGTCATGGTAATGATTAGAGCTCTAACCTCGGTTGGGGTCTTATTGAACATGGCACCACCACTGGCGGCATCATTCATCTTCTTATCCATAGGTAGGAGACCCTCATAGAAGTATTGCAAGAGCAATTGTTCTGAGATTCCATGTTGTGGACAACTCACACAAAGATGTTTGAATCTCTCCCAATATTCATGGAGAGTTTCAACATCTCGTTGTTTAATGCTACAAATCTCACTACGGAGGTTAGCGGCTCAGGAGGCGGGAAAGAATTTGTCTTAAAATAGCCTCGCTATTTGGTTCCACCTCGTTACCGAATCAGGAGGTAACGAGTATAACCAATCAGTAGCCCGGTCCTTTAAAGAAGAAGGAAAAGCCTTTAACTTTATAAGGTCCTTCGTAATTGCTTTAAATGCTTATTAGGGTCCTCGTTCTCTAACCCGTGATATGTGGGTAAGAGATGGACCAAGCCAGTCTTATGAACAAAGTTTTGATTACCTGTCGGATACCTGATACAAATTGGAGTTTGAGCAACGTCTTGGTTTGCCAATTGACGTAAAGTCTATTCATCAGCCATGTTGACCTTCGAATTTTTCTCATCTTCTTCCTCAGATTCCGTTTTTAGTTCCTCTACTTCGCTTTTAGACTCGGATGGTAATTTAATATCCTTCCAGATGTTGATTACCGGTGAACTAGAGATTCGCCTTGCGCTTTCCGGAGCGTAGCTAGATTCCTGAACCGCTTGGCTATCCGTTCGATTTTTGTGTCTATGGGAATAGGCGTACCTGTACGTGAAGATCTAGGCATAAACCATTAGAAACACCGAGTCCCCGGCAGCTGCGCCAAAATTTTGACGGATGCCGAGTCCACCAAATAATAAAATTCCAACTACGAGCTAATTACAACCAAAATTATAATAGCGGTAAGTCGGGTCGAATCCACAAAGACTCAGTTTAACTTACTATGTCTAGAAAAATCAAGTACAAGGCGACGACTTAAAAGTAATTAAAAAAAGGGAGGGGTAAGGATTTGATTAATTAGACCAAACATGCGATTAAAATTTATTACAAACAATGAGAACGAAATCCAACATTAGTTCACTCTCGATAATGATGTAAATACTTATCAGCGATGTCGCAAATGTAAAAAGATAGGATGAGCTCAAGTCAGGTATGGTTATCAACAAGCTCTGACAACCTTCTTTTTCACCTAATTAGACGTTAGCTAAAATCAGTTCTTTAGCTAAATCTTAACTACAAGTGGAACAATAAACAAGCTCTCAACATCCCAAGCGTAATTAGCTTTAACGAATTAAAAAACACCGACTCAAATAATTAAGCTCATATGTTTGGCTTAATATCACTTTGATTATGAGATTTCAAGAACTCAAATTGAAAACTTTATTGAATTCAAAGAGTTTCATTGTCACCCTATCAAAGCCACAAGACAATTACGTATCTAATGCTTTGAATAACAAGTATTCATAGGACTGTTAACTAATCGGCCAATTTAATTAACATTCAAATGAAATTAACAATTAACCTAGAAATCAAACAAATAAACTTGTCCCAAACAAATACAACGACATCTCAAAGTAGGAAAACATCAAAATCTAAAGTTAACTAATGTTGGAATAAATAAATTAGCAACACATAGCTAAACTAGGTTACCGATTCTAAAGATTTTTAGGATTTACCATACAAATCAGTTGACGATAAAAACCCTCCTCAATCGATCGATCTCCTCCCCTCTTCTCCAATCAATCGCTCTCCTCTGTTTTCACCAATCGAGACCCAGACAACGTGTTCCTGCCTTCGCTACAGCACAGACGACATGTTGCTGCCTCTCTCCATCCCCCCAAAAACTGCTTCTGCTGTTGGATTTTTATAGTTGGACTGCTGCTGTTGGTGGGCTGCTGCTGTTGGGTTGTTTGTTGTTGGCCTGCTGCTGTTGGTGGGCTGCTGCTGTTGGGTTGTTTGTTGTTGGCCTGCTTGCTGTTGGGTTTTTTTTTTTTTTTTTTTGCTGTTGAGCCTCTTCTGTTGGGCTGCTGTTGGTGAGAGTAGTGAATGTGAGAGTGAGAGTGAGAGTGAGATCAACATCAACAAAAAAAGAACAAATAATCAAATTGTCAATTTTCTTTTCCAACTTGAATTACCTCAAATAATTAAAACTAAATTAGAACATTTAAGCATCTAATTAATATTAATTACTAAGTAACTTTAGCATAAAAATATATAAAATTGACGTTTATCATTTCTTCAGCATCTGAGTTATCGTCTTCGGGTATATATTCAAAATTTCTGCTGCAATAGAAATATCTTCATCCATGGCTACCTCCCACAAAATTTTTTACTGTTCCGAAGACTGGATCAAGTACTGGTTTAAAGACTATCTTGGAGACTAGTTCAAATCTTGAACCAAATAACTGTCATGATCAACAAGATTTTTTGGTTCAAAATATGAATTTTCACCACCACCACCACCACCACCAGGGAAGAAAGTGTTTAGATTTCTACCACTACCACCAGGGTAAAAAGTGTTTGGATCGCATGGGTTTGCACCACTACCGCCAAGTAAACTTTGATGGATTACGACACTTGATGGATTTCCACCATAACCACCATTGTCGACAACAAAGAGTGTTAACATTTTCGGTAAACTTTGATGAACAACGTTCTGGAACATCATCACATCGTCGCCGCCTACTAACTCATATAAATTTTGTAAGGAATTGTTTTTATAAAATAACCTGAAAGGACTACGTAAATTTAAATTTTTTCTCAACACATTTAACCAAACCAGAATGTATTATTGGCGAAGGCAAAAGTAATATACGTATGGGGGATCCTAACAACATATACTTAAGGCACCATTTATCATCTGAAATAAACCGCCCCTTTGAACATACACAAAAAAGTTATCACTTTGACGTGATTTCATATTTGTATTTAAGGGTGAAGGGTTGTGATGGTAGATTGGGTTTAATGGATTAAGGGTTGTGATGATAGATTGTGTTTAAGGGTTGTGAGAATAGAAGTGAGGAAAACCTTCCCTTTTTCCTTTGTCAGTTTAGAAGATATGAGAGTAGAAGTAAGGAGTGAAGGAAAACGAATGAGATGTCATAAGCTATATATAGTGATATTTTTTTTCACTAGAAGACAAATAGGGGTCAGATCAACCCGGGGGGGGGGGGATCCTGGGGTAGGTGGGGGTGATCCCCTTTTTTAAGAAAAATAAGATATCTTGTCTTCCAATCAGATACATGTTGGCCCCACATATCAATTTAAAAGATTTTTTGTGTACTTTTTGGGTCAAAGAATGTCAAATCATGCTCGTATGGTCAACATGCCTCCCGAGGACGATCCATATGGTCATTTTGTGTGAAATTGTAATAAATGGTTATTTTGTTAATACATTAGGTATATTTTGATCATTTTCCTTTTGTTTAATCGGTTTTAGAAAGCTCATAAATTTATTTGTTCAAAAAAGTTGTCTAGACACTTTGGCCTTGTTTTTTTAAAGCTCTTATTAATCTTTTATGTTTGATTCGTTAAAAGGTATGGTCATTCAGACTGTTTGTTTATTTTTTCAATTTTTCAAAGTTACTTATGTCTTATTGTTCTTTTACCTAGTAAGAGATAAACCAACCTCTTATCTGCCTCTTACTGTTCTCCATGACCTCAACAACGATGTTTCTCAATCAATTAACCTTAAACGATCATTTCTCTCAATCGGTCCTTACAAGATCGATACTCACCTCGCTCAATTGATGTATTTTAAAAAGATTTAAATGTGTTGAATATTGTCAATGCCATATTTTCGTTAAAATTAATGCTATTTACTTTAGATGTAAATTTCATAATTATGATGAATAAATATGTGAAATTGTATCAATTTATCTCTAAATTAAACACTATAATTTTCTAATAGGTAAAATAGACAATTTAAACAAATCCAGACATTTATAAGTTTACAAAAATAAATGTTTTATTGATTCAGATTTCAGACTTCAACACCAACTCTTATCAATAAAAAATAAAACAAGACTTTAAACTCTAACATCTATTAAAAAACAAACACCATCATAATCATTCAAAATCAAATATTCTCATATGTTGTTGTGAACTTATCATTCCAACTAAGTGGATATGCTTTAACTAAAACAGCTTCAAAAAAACCATATATATTAATGCATTAATAATCTATACATATTTTTCATAAAAATTGCACTCTTACATTTATATTATTTGTTATAAAAATCTTTAGAGTAAATTACGTTTTTAGTCCTTATGGTTTGTTGAAAATTTCTATTTTTATTCCTTGTGGTTTTAAATTACGACTTTTATCCCTATAGTTTATAATTCATTACTGTTTTCATCCTTATGATTTAAACTTTATTGTCTTTTTCATCCCAGGGGTGTAAACCTCATTTTTATTTTAGTCCCTCATACTTATAAGTAGTAATTAGCCTCAAAACCGAAAATAAAATTGAATTTCAAACCATAGGGATCAAAACTTCAATTTTGAAACCACAAGGATTAAATCCTCATCTTCTAGTAACCATAGGGACGGAAAATGTAATTTACTCAAATCATTACATTAAAATTATATAAATACACATTTATATTACATTGATTATTTTTTATTGTATTAAAATATTAAAAAGACAGGTATAGAGAGAGAGAAGATGGCCCCACATCTTATCTTGTCTAGTGGCAACACATCCCCTTCTTCCCCAACCTACAAACAACGACCACCATTGTAAAACCCAAAACATTACATGGAGATGGAGCTAGAAAACATGCCTTGTTCTTGACCTTCCTATGAATTCTTCATCTTTGATTAGTCCTTTGGTTTATGTGGTTCACATCTTGTTTGAGATTGCTTATAAAAACAACTTATACGACTAATTTTGGTGTGACACCGAGAATAAACACTTTTGAGTGTTTGAATAAACAACTTATACCAGTGCCAAACCGGTAATAAGAAGTTTTTGAAGAAATTAAACTCTTCTAACTTATAATAAGTTGATAAGTACTTTTATGAAAAACATAAATTGTTTCAAATAAGCAATTCAATACACCTATAACCTTATGTTTTACATTTTTCCACCTATTGACTCCTCTTAATAAAATAAAATAAAACTTTTGTTGACTCAATTAGAGAATTGACTATTTATATTGAGTAATTGAAACACTTTTGTCATTTTGTAATTAAACGTCTTTTGATAAATCAATTTGAAAAGAAAAAAATAACGTAAAAATACCAAAATAGCCTTCTTATTTAATAAATTTTTTTTTTATTTTGTTAAAACGAGGGAAAAAAATTTGAGCCTATCAAAAGTGGAAATTTGTGCTTGTGGAATTCAGTAGGTACAAAAACGTAAACCACAAATTTCATCTTTGTATTTATTTTGATTTTAGAACTATCTGTAATTTAATCGTTGTGTGGTCAAGTAAAAAAGTTACAACTTGTTATATTAATCTATTACGTATTTACGTTGGTGTGATCAAAACTGAAAGAATAAGATTTGCTCTTTTCACTGGCATAAAAGCTTTAAACTTACACGTAACAAAACACAAATACAAGGCATTATTAATTTGTATATGACGATCTTTATTGTGGGTCTAATTCGTTGTAGTAGTCATAGATTTTGAGAGGGTCTTGAAGCGTTTTTGCCACGCTTTCTCTCTCACTAATGCACCTTTTGACCCACGACATAAGCTTCGGGCACTCGGTCTCGATGCTAAAGTTACCGCGTCTCTCGATGCTATAGAACCAACAAGTAAAGGGTACAAGTGCCACATCCACGAAATCGATATTTTCACCCCCAAAATAGCGTTTAGTGCCTAACTCCCCCTCCAACTCTTTCAACCCTTGTATCAATTCTTTCTTTGTCATCTCTTGTTTTTCGCCTTTTTCCCACAACACCCTCCTTCCCACATCGTAAACCTGCGTCCAAACCACGTAATATTAAAGCACGTATAGCCAATTTAAGTGAGATATACCGAGTTTTTTGTTTGTTCAATAAGTACCTTTTTCTCGATGTAGTCGGCCCAAAACAAGGCTTGTGACTTTTGGTAAGGATCAGAAGGAAGCAACGGAGATTTATCATGCCAAACCTCATCAATGTAGCTGACGATGATGAGAGACTCACAAACTGGTTTGCCCTCGTGAACCAGAACCGGAATTGTTTTATGAATCGGGTTCAGTTGGAGCAACAGAGGGCTCTTGTCTTGAAGGTTTTCGCCCAAACGCTTGTACTCGATTCCTTTTTCTTCCAAAGCAATCTTGACCCTCATTCCGTACGGACTTGCCCAAAAATCCAATAAGATCACCTCCTCCTTCATCTCAACTAGTAACATATAACAAAACCAACAAAACAAAACAGCTTTTAAAGGTGTCAAAGAGAACTGTTGTGAAGAGTTTGGTGCTTAAATGGAGCATGTAAGATGTTATATAATGTGAAGTTTGTAAACACAAGGAGGTGATGTCATTGCTTGCGTTTTGCCAAGTCATATAACTCAATTTCTTAAAGGAAGTGAAACTTTAAATAAATGCATATAGAAATTTATTTAATACCCCACTTGTCCTAAACATAATCTGCTGATATTAGAGGTGCTCATGTGTTGAGTTGATCGGGTTGAAGATATTTGAACAACTCAACTTGATGCTTGTGGTTTGAAAAAATCTTAACCCAACCCAACCCAACCCAAATCAAAGTGCAACCCAACCCAACCCGTACGGGTTGGTCGGGTTGATACTTTGATACATTAAAATATTCTTCTAACCTTGAATATGTTATTTCTCTACTCATAGTTTCATTTTCATCATCAACCATTTGATACGACTTATCCATATTTCTTACGTATATCACATTCAGTTAACTTTCTCAATTTACATATATATGTTCACAGTTATTGAACATATATACGAATGAGTTATACAGAGATATGAATATATTGAAAATATGTGTATATGAAAAGCATACATGATAATGTAATTGTCTAATGTATATATTAATAGAAATTCAGCAATCATATTATATCCAATAAATAAAAGGATATCGGGTTCATCGGGTTGGGTTGAGTTCAAATAATAGTAACCTAATATCAACTTAATACCTACAGTTTGACAATTTTACAACTCGATTAGACATCGGGTTGCTTCGGATTGGGTTATTTCGTGTTGGGTTGGGTTGATCTGGGTGGTCGGGATTTTGAGCACCCCTAGCTGATATGCATAAACACATTCAAGATACACCAGCAAAGTTTTTACATTACAACACAGAAAGAAGGAAAAAGGTTCAATAATCAAACGTAAAATCTGAAGCACGCATATAAAACTCGATAGAAACGGAAGCAGGGACTGACCATATATATGACGAGTCGCCACAAACCCTCGAACATCAGCAAAACGACCGTGGAAAGAACGTGAAAAATATTTGGACAATTTCTCGATTTGTACGTGTCATCCAAGGGACGATCGTTGTTGCTTGCCGGTGACGATACCATCTTTCTGCCCGATGTGGGTCGACCTATTTTCTGCAAGCTTTCCAGTAGTCAAATTATTTGATATTGTTGGAATATTAATATTTAAATTATTTTCTTGTAAATATAATAATTAATTATTTTGTTAGAACTCGATAATTATCCTAGTTATATTTTAGATATTTTATATTTTAAAATGAGATGTTTATCCTCTATTGATTATGTTTATCCGCAGTTAGTTACACGAATTCAAACATGGAGCTTTAATAAATTGTACTTATGCATAATTACTTATAATCTTGAATTTTAAGTAATATGCATCAATATATAGTACTTCATGTATAAAAAATGGTTGTTAAGAGTTTTTGTCAAATATTTTATAATATAATATAAATTATTATCATATTTTACCATATATCGTTTACCATTTCGTTGACATACCTTAGTATTTTCAATTCAACAATGGCGTTTACCATTTCGTTGACATACCTTAGTATTTTCAATTCAATAATGGCATATGCAACCCTTCATCATTCAATTCAACAATGGCATATAAAACCACTATTATAATAATGGGCATTTCTGGCGGAACATTTCCGGCGGAACATTTCCGTCGGAATATCACCTATGGATGGCCGGCGGACATAAAAAAAAGTCAACTTCTGTTGACTTCCGCCGGAAATCCGTCGGAAATATTATTCTGGTAATATTTCCGGCGGATTTCCGGCGGACTTCTTAATTAATTGTTTTAGAATTGGATTTAAATCTAATTACAATAATTTACCGGCGAATTTCCGACGAATATTTAATTATTTTTTTAAAATTAAGAGCCGCCGAAAATCCACTGAATCTAAGATGCTTGATGCATTTTTGGGTTGGTACTATAATCTTCTTATTGCATGCGCACAACCAAACACTTTTAAGCATCTAAATGTGCACCACATTCACTACTAAAAAATCTGGTTTTTTCGACGGCAAAATTCGTCGGAGAAACAATTTTCCGACGGATTTCCGACGGATTTGTATTTTCAGACGAAAATATCCGTCGAAAATCCGTCGTGTAATTTTATAATATGTTATCCATTACCCCGGTTAATTAGAAGTAATATATAATGAGATTAGATTTACCGACGGAATTTCCGTCGGAAATCCGTCGGTAAACTTTTTCTATTTTCTTCCAAAATAATAACCAGTTTTTATTTCAAAAATAAAAATTGCACTTTTCCGACGGATTTCCGACGGAAATTCCGTCGGTAATTATATTTTAAAACTTTTTTTCTAATTTAAAATATGAAAATGTTTTTTATTTTTAATTGATGGAAAATATTTACCGACGGATTTTCCGTCGGAAATACGTCAAAAAATCCGCCAGAATTTTTGTAAATAAAACTTATATCTAATTATTTACCGACGGATTTTTTCTAGAAATCCGTCGGAAATTTAGCTAGTACAAGAAAAAAAACCAAAAAACCAAAATCTTAAAATATAAAGTTCTTGTAATTAAATACAAATATACAATACACAAATATGTCACAAAAACCTAATATGATTATCCGGACGAAATAATATACATATACAAATTCGATTGATGACGCTAGTTCATAAATACACTATATCAAATCTATTGCGGGAGGGTAGACGGAAACTGTAGAGATTGTGTAAACCTCTTCATCATATCCATCATGTCTGCATGCTCTTTCTTCCGGATCTCATATTCCCTGTTTCGGATCTCTTCTCGGCGAAGAAGTTCCTCAACCTCCTTCTGTCGGATCTCATTTCGGCGAAAAAGTTCTTCAACCTCCTTCTGTCGGATCTCATCTCGAGTGCGCATTTCTTGAATTTGGGATTGTAAGTTGTTAATTAACTACAAATACAATAAAACGTTAAAATTTCTAATAAGAAGTATAAATAAAATAAATAAACATCAAATGATAAAGAGGTACACACCTGACTATCTATATTAGGCGATCCACTAGAGTTTGCTTATGAGGATGTCCCGGTCAAGACCAAATTGGGATCTTCATTGTACATGAACCCAAATAGACGGCCTTTCTTGGATCCCCCAACCGCCTCATTCCACAAGTCAGTATCAACTAGGGGATAGGCTGAGGATCCTCACCATACTTTTCGGTGAGATTGTTTGAATAGGTATCCTATGGTTTAAAAAAAATACTACCAGTCAATTTCGGCAGCATAACGACTGTAAATGGAACGTTTCCAACTAAAACAATCCTAACGTTTGCCCAATAAAACTCAATTAAACCGAATACAGTACCCGATAAAACTCAATTAAACCGAATACAGTACCCGATAAAGCCCAATATATTCATTAAAGTCCACTAAGATCCATTTAAGCCCAGCAGTACCCTTTAAAGCCCAATTGTACCCGTTAACGCTCAATAATACCCAATGGATCCACTAAAATCTACTGAGATCTATCGAAGACCAAATAGTACCGGTTAAAGCTCAATTGAACCGAATAAAACCCAATGGATCCACTAAAATCCATTGAGATCTATTGAAGACCAAATAGTACCCGATAAAGACAATATATTCATTAAAGTCCACTAAGATCCATGAAAGCCCAATTGTACCCAATAAAGCCCAATTGTACCCATTAAAGCCCAATAATACCCGTTAAAGCTCAATTGAACCGAATATAGTACCCGATAAAGCCCAATATATCCATTAAAATCCACTAAGATCCATGACAACCCAATATATTCATTAAGATCCACTAAGATCCATGAAAGCTCAATAGTACCCGTTAAAACTCAATATAGTCATTAAAGTCCACTAAGATCCATGACAGCCCAACAGTACCCTTTAAAGCCCAATTGTACCCAATAAAGCCCAATAATCCATTAAAGTCCACTAAGATCCATTAAAGCCTATTAATACCCTTAAAAACCCAGTTGAACCGAATAAAATCCACTAATACCCGTTAAAACCCAATAATATCTGTTAATGCCCAATTGAACCAAATAAGACCTATTAGCTCCATTAAAGCTTAGTTGAACCAAATAGTACCTGTTAAAGTCCACTAAGATCCATTAAAGCCCAGTTGAACCGAATAAAGCTCAATAGATTCATTAAAGCCCAATTGAACCGAATAAAACTCAATAGATTCATTAAAGCCCAATTGAACCGAATAAGACCTATTAGCTCCATTAAAGCCTAGTTGAACCAAATAGTACCTGTTAAAGTCCACTAAGATCCATTAAAGCCCAGTTGAATCGAATAAAGCTCAATATACCCGTTAATGCGCAATTGAACCGAATAAAGCCCAGTAGTACCCGTTAAATCCTAATTGAACCCGTCAATACCCAATTCAACTAAATAAGACCCAATAGCTCCATTAAAGCCTAATAGATCTATTAAAGTCCACTAAGATCTATTAAAACCTAGTAATACCCTTTAAAACCCAGTTGAACCGACTAAAACCCAATAATACCCTTAAAACCCAATAATATCTGTTAATGCCCAATTGAACCAAATAAGACCTATTAGCTCCATTAAAGCATAGTTGAACAAAATAATACTTGTTAAAGTCCACTAAGATCCATTAAAGCCTAATTGAACCGAATAAAGCTTAATAGTACCCGTTAAAGCCTAATTGAACGAAATTAGACTCAATCTATTAAAGCCCAATGGATTCATTAAAACCCAATTGAACCAAATAAGGCCCAATTAGTACCCGTTAATACCAAATTGAACTGAATAAGACCCAATAGCTCCATTAAAACCTATTTGAACTGAAAAAATTCGACTAAGATCTATTAAATTCCACCAAAACCTAATAATACAGATAAAAGTCCAATTGAACCGATAAAGCCAATAGATCCATTAAATGTAACTGAACATACGACTACTCCATTGGTAATATTTAATAAAAAAGTTTATAATAACTTAAACTTGGAAAAAATTAAAATTAAAACAGTTTTTTAAATTTCTGACGGATTTCCGACGGAATTTAATTTTTATTAAAAAAAAATTTAAATTCCGT